GTGTGTGTGTGTGTGTGTGTGTGTGTGTGTGTGTGTGTGTGTGTGTGAGGTGCGATGCAGCACAGTGGCGCAGCGTCACACACATTGCGCACTGAGCCGCCGCATAGCAGCCGCCAGGTAACTCCACAACATACCTGCTGCTGCTCGGCTCCTGTCCGATCGCGTGCGCTGCGGCAGGGTGGAGGGACTGGGAGGACATGCCGAGACAATGAAAGAAAAGGTCCCAGTTAAACGCTGTTCCTGGTTTTTTTACCCGCAGTGTGCACCCACCGGCGGTGGAGGTGAAAACATCTCAGCCTCTCTCACCATGAGCCAGTCAATATGCGCCCCCTTCTTCTCCCCGCATCTCTCCCTCCCTCTGTTTTTTCCTCTCTCTCTCTCTGGAGGAGAAACACAATAGCCTTTCTGACAACCTACCGCCGTGCACGTCTGTTATTACGCAACAACGCACCGAGACGCAGTTTTTTAAATAGTTCCCCTTTAAGGCATGTCGTTGTGGCATAAAATCAAAGCGCATCTATTTCTACTAGTTAGCCATCAGCAGCCTGCTTTATTATTTGGAGCTAGTGCAAATGATTTCTAGATTTTTTTTTTTTTACTTTGCTTTAACAAATTAATGTGTAAGCACAGACATGCACACACACTCCTCTTGTTTTTCTTTTACAATTTATACTAGTGTTGGATGTAACTGGGACCCTGTGTACACAATTTCGTTCCACGACATGTACCACTGTGGTGCGAACGACAAATAAAGAAACTATATATATATATATATATATATATATATATATATATAGTAATAAATTTGTGGGTCTAACAGGCAGAAGATCTTGCCTAGAATGTCAGAACCATCAAACAATCACCACACACTAGAAGATTATGAAAGTAGTCTTTATTTATGCATCTACTCCTAAAAAGATCCCCACCCCAAGCTAAAAAGGAAGGCCTATAATAAAAGGTTAGATGAGTTCACTTTGTTCACTTAGCTCACTCAGCGACGAGACCCCTCCCCAGGGTCTAAGCTTGTGATGTCGTCCAACACCCCTGGGGGTTGACTTAGCTGGACGACAGTCAGACCTCCTGGATTGGCTCCACACCAGGTCAGAGCAGGTGGCAGGAACAGCAGATCACAGGAACAGGAGCAGGAGTCCAAGGTGGCGACTGCACCCCCCTAAAGCCCAGCCCTAACTCTAAGGAAGAGAGTAGCTACCTTTCAAAGAAAACTCAATCACCTGCTTGTGGTCTTGTCCCTATGGTCGCTATACCCAAAGTTTGCGACCATAGGCGAAGGAAGTAATAATGACTGACCAGTACACGGAGAGCTTCGCCTTACAGCTCAGTTCCCTTTTCACCACAGAGCGGCACAGAGTCTACATTACTGTGGAAGCTGCACTGTCACTCTGTCAGTCTCATGCTCCATTATTCCCACATTTTTCAACAAAACCCCACAATACTTAAACTCCTCCACTTGAAACAGCACCTCAGTTCTGGAGACTGAATATCTATTCAAAACCATGTTTTAGACAGTTGTAGTTATTGTCATGAGTCTTGTTTTCAAAGGCAAATTTCTGAAATTGCACTTTTCACTACTCATAAGATAATTACTGGAAACCTATAATCACATTTTTATTTGTTAATTTTTCAAGTTAAGGTTTAATTTTGTTTTCCTGTGTTTGTTTGGAAAAAAAAAAAGATTTAGTTAGTTTTTCATTTTGCAAGCTGAAACTATTTTTTTATTTAAATTGTTTCCATGCTTACTAACTATTAATGGGATTGTTGAAGCATTAACTGATCAGGACATGTGACATTCTGAATAATTAAAACTATTAATACAGGAAAATTTGACTTAAATATGTCTGGTCTGAGGAGTTTCTTCAGGCAAATATGTGCTAAACCGGCTTGCCTTAACACCTGTTCCGTCTGCAATGGCATCACCAAGAGCGTGCAGCACCGAGCTGTTCTTCAAATTATAGCAGACATGCATTGTCTGAAACTTGGTAAATAGTGTGAAGAGGCTTTTAGAGGCAGATGAGGATGCTTTTTAAAATGATAGCAGAATGTTGCAGCGACCATTAAGAAAATAATCTGTGTATGAAACAGACCAGCTCTCTTGTTCCACCAGTAGGAGAGCAAACCACCTGGATTATTCACTGTCACTGTCATTTTTACAGTGCCACTCTGTCAAACTTATCTGCTGGTAATGCACTCTAAATTAAATGTTTTAAATAAATATCACAGGTTGCATTGTGTTTGTTTTTACTGAAAGACTTTCATTAGATTCGTGGTCAGTTTCTTGTATGAAGGTTGCGTAGTCGACAACAGTTCCAGAGTATTTTTTAGTGTTTTCCCATGCTGCATCTTGGCTTAGTGCCTGTTCTTCATGGCCCACTGGATTGTCTCTCTGGTTTGACAATAACACAATAATTTCATGTCTGGACATGCTAGAAGCTCAGATCTCTGTCACTATTGAGCTCAAACACAGACACAAGTTGGAAAAAAAAACAAACTAAGACTCTCAGTTCCCTTACAAACAAGTCTCGTTCCCAGTTGTTAAATCTCTGTTAGTTTCATTAAGTCGTCTGCTTCAAAGCTATGTCTTAAAATAACCTGCCTGGCTCAAAGGATTGTCCTAAGGCCATTAAATTACTACTGAGCCAGCAGCAGATATAGACGTATTAGACAGGTGGAGCGGGAACGCTTCTGGATGGTAATCACATTGTTGTTCACAGATTATGACTAATATTCTCAGGCTGTAAACACCCTGCATGTTTCACAGCATTTATCATATGTAGAATTATTTTTAAAAGTATCATTTGTTCCAATCATCCCTTGATTTTATTGTGAGAAGAGTTGCAGTATTATTCAGGTGCATATTCACATTCTCCTCATTATCATTTAGTAATATTCAATAATTAAATGTTCATTTTTATCTGAGACATCAGCATGTCCCATTTTACAAACTACTATTTGGTGACGATTCAGTTGGACTGAACTAATGTCTAATGTTTTCTTTATTGGACAAATTCATTTGAACTTTTCAAAAACTTTAATTTTTGATAGCAATGTTCAGTGTTTTATATTTTGTTTTAACCTTTATGCAAGGCATATATTTTATATTTTATTTTAATTTCTCCTGTTCTAAAGGCCGTTCAGTGAACCTGCGGCAAACTGACCTTTTCTGTCCATTAGATATTCTTCTGTAATCGTGCTGGTGAATGTGTGCAAAGGAACGGACAAACTGCAAAAAGCTAATGTGTCTTCTCTCTTGCAGTAGTAAACTCCATCCATCCATCCATCCATCCATCCATCCATCCATCCATCCATCCATCCATCCATCCATCCATCTATTATCTTGAGGACAGAGGATGCAGAGGATAGAGAGAGATGGAGAAGGATGAGTCATTGTGGAGACCCCTGAAGAGGAAAAAGCTGAAAGAAGACTGCCTTCCCCTTCTTCATTCTTTTCAGAGCTTTCTGGACTTCACCCTCACTAATCTTTCCCACTTCCTGGTCTACAGTTTCTATGAACTCTACTCTTCTTTCTCTTTCGTTCTCTTCATTCATTAGCTCCTCAAAGTACTCCTTCCATCTTCCCGTCACACTCTCCTCACTTGTTAGAACATTACCATTCCTATCTTTAACAAGCCTAACCTGCTGCGCATCCTTTCCAGCCTGATCCCTCTGTCTCACCAATCGGTGCAAGTTCTTCTCAACTTCTTTAGTGTCCAGTCTCTCATACAACTCATCGTACGTCCTCTGCTTTGCCTTAGCTACTTCCCTCTTTGCTCTACATCCCATCTTCTTATATTCCTGTCTCCTCTCTTCAATCCTCTCATTGTCATATTTCTTCTCAGCTAATCTCTTTCTTTGAACGGCGTCCTGCACTTCGCTATTCCACCACCAGGTTTCCTTATCATCAACTCTCTGTCCAGATGACACAACAAGTACCTTCTTACCTGTCTCTCTAATTACTGTTGATGTAGTATCCCAGTCATTTGGAAGTTCTTTCTTACCACCCAGAGCCTTTAACAGCTTCTCTCTGAATTTCTCACAACATTCTTCCTTCTTCATCTTCCTGCACCATTTGGTCTTCTTCTCTGATTTTACTCTTTTTCTTTTCTTCACAACAACAGCCATTCCACACACAACCACCCGATGCTGTCTGGCCACACTCTCCCCTGCCACAACCTTACAGTCTCCAATCTCCCTCAGGTTTCCTCTTCTACACAGAATGTAGTAGACCCGCGTACTCCTTCCTCCACTCTTATAGGTTACTCTATGTTCCTCCCTCTTTTAGAAACAAGTGTTGACTACAGCCATTTCCATTCTCCTGGCAAAATCCACCACCATCTGTCCTTCCTGGTTTCTTTCCTTGATACCAAACCTACCCATCATTTCCTCATCCCCTCTGTTTCCTTCACCAACATGTCCATTCAGGTATGCTCCGATCACCACTCTCTCCTCTCTGGGAATAATCTCTATCACTTCATCCAGATCTTTCCCAAATGTATCTTTCTCGTCCCCATCACATCCAACCTGTGGAGCATAACCACTGACGATGTTTAGGATCAGACCTTCTACTTCTACATTCAGACACATCTGACACCCTTTTCACCTCTACTACATTATTTGAAAACTCCTCCTTCAGGACCACTCCTACTCCATTTCTCTTTCTATCCATTGTAAAACAATTTGAACTCTGCTCCATTGCTATGAACTTTGCTGCCCTTCCACTTGGTCTCTTGGACACATAAAACTTCTACCTTCCTTCTCTGCATCATGTCAGCCTGCTCTCTACCTTTGCCTGTCATTGCCCCCACATTTAGATTTGCAACCCTCGGTCCTACATTCTTGACTTTCCTTTTCTCCCTCTATCTCCTGTCACGTTTCCCTCCTCGTGGTCTTCGACTAACAGTAGCACAATTTCCGCCGGCACCCTGTTTGTCCACAGAACCAGTGGCAATCGTTGTTAACCCGGGCTTCGACCAATCCAGTACAGTTTCGCTTCGATGAACTCGCATTATAGTTTTGGCAAAAGGCTTTTTTAAATTTTATTTTTTTACGTCGGATGCCCTTCCTGACACAACCCTCACCATTAACCTGGGCTTGGGACCAGCACAAAAGAAAGAGTGGCTTGTGCTCCCTGGCTGGTTTCACTGTGTTTCTCATCAAAATAAACCTCTTTTATTAAGAACAGCTTTACTAACAACAAGCTGGAGATCCATGATCCTCGCCAACTCTGTGCTTTGAGTCTTTTACTTTGTGGCTTCCCTTCATCTTGGGAAAGGATGCCCCCCACCTCTGGGCCCCAACGACACACTTCTAAGAGACAGGCTTCCTCCTGTCTATCAGGCTCCATCTCAGCCTCTGAAGCATTAAACT